ATAATTCAATGACTTTATCAACTGCTTGAAAGCAAGGGGCAACAGAGAAGTCAGCTACTAGCCAATCTCAGACAACAGGAAATTTGATAATACACCTTGGTCAAATCCTTCATTTAACATACATTTATATAGAAACTTTCTGTGTCAGGCACCAACCTAGGTACCACAGATACAATAATAAAGAGAACTGACAAAACATCAGCCTTCATGGAGTTTATGTGCTAACAAATATGCATAAACAAACACATATGAAAATCCAGAAAGTGATTACTGCTGTGAAGATAAACAACACAGAGTAAGCAGACAGTGATATTAGGTAATTGCCTTAGGGTGGTCAGCAAAGTTCTTCCCAAGGAAGTGACATTTGAATGGAAAACTGAAAAACGTTAAGAGTTAACCATCAAATATCTGTGAGATCTTTAGGAGGAGCCGGGAAACAGCCAGTGCAAAAGCCCTGCGATGAGAAAGTGCTTGTTAGGTTTGAAGAACAGCAGTAAGACACTATGGCTTCAGTGTAGTGGGGGAGGGAGAGGCAGATAGGAAATAATCATGAAGACTTACTTAGCCCATATCATGTAAATAGAGCTTTTGCAATCCTATAGACAAGCAGTATGTTTTGATTTTTCCCTAAGTCCACAAAATAGTCTGTGATAGAAAGCCATTGAAAGATTGAAAACAGGTTATTTGTAACCTCAGTTGCTGTTCATGCAGGCATAGAAAAGAATAATGTTTCCTTGCTCCATATCTATTGCTGAAACAGTTCTTCATTATATCTTTAGTGTGAGGACAAATTGCATTTTTCTGGTTATGAGACAGAGGGGATATGCCATCCCAGGCATTGAGATTGGGAAATACCAAGCATGAATGTGAGTGCTAAGTATTAAACCCAATTTTCTGATGACCACTAGGGTTCCAGGTATGAGCCTGTAAAGTGGGCTTTTTCTGAGAAGAGTGAAAGAAGGTAGGCAGAGATATACGAGCTAGTAAAGAGGACTGGGGCTTATAAGATTTGGGGCCTAAAAAAGTCAGGATTCAAAGTGATCAATCTGCCAAATAAAGAGATTTGGAAACCAAGGAGTGGGTAGTGAATGTGTGGAGTCAGAAAGTAACTGCAAATTCTGGAGAAATTGTGGAAGCAGCATTTTGTTGGGGGGTGGGGGGGAACATCACCCTTAAATACCATTCCTACCTTCTAGTAAATCTATTACTTTAACTTTACCTCTGCCAGTCTATAAAAGTTCTTCATGTTTGGTACATTTTAATTGTTTCCAAAGTCCTTTCATGCATAGGATTTATTTGACTTTTACAACAACCTGGGAGATGGCTGGAACAAGTTAAGAAACTTCATATCCAGAGAAGGGAGCTGGGGATCAAAGAAGCCAAGTTGTCTGTCCATGATCGTTGTGCTGCCTCTCTTTTTAAGGGGTAAGGACAGGGTTTTAATATGTGTCTTTTCACCCCTGCACAATGCTCCATATATTAGAGTATGCCATTTTATGTGAACTGCAGAGATGTTCAAAATACATGAAATAAATGAAATTTTTAGGTGTTAAGAAAACCACTGCATGATAAGAAGTCCAAAAGGAGGAAACGAGGAGTCAAAGCTTTGATATCTGAAGAAATCAAAAGAAATGCAAACCAGTGCAGATCACAGACTGGAGGTGCCATATCCTTGCTTTAAATACCAGAAGGAAAATATATTCATTAGGTGGCTTCCTAAGGCCTTTTCTGTTCTTCAGAGTCTAGCTTGTAAACTTATGCTCTTTAATCTGGGTTAAGTTCAGTAATTCAATCGTGTTACTAGAATAATAAAAACTTCATGTGCAGAGGTTGCTCAAGAGTAAACATTTAACTTTCATACAGCTCAGGCCTTTTTTCACACACTGTTTGCTTACATCTCTAAGATGCCTTTCCTGCAGGGAATTCTCACTTTTACTATCAGCAGGCATACAAGTACTGTAAGGTACCAGTTCATAGTTTAGTTTCCAAAATACCACCATTTATATCTTTATAGCTATGTTTATGTAATAATTTAAAAACTTTGTGATACTACTAAAATATAAAAGACAAATAAGAAAAAGTGTTGCTAGATGCTTATAATAATTTAAATAAAGGCTTAAATCATTTGGAGGGTTTAAAAAAGACAACCTTTGGGCCGGATTCAATACCTAACTACATGTTCAATTACATTAAAGGAACATGTATAAATTATTCAGAATGTGATTATGGAAATGTATAGTTAATGATTATGTCTAATGAGGTATAATATAGTGATGGAGGAGAAGATGAGCACATCCTAAAATTATAAATGAATAAGCAATATAAAATATGTCAATGATATGAATACAGATAATATTTTTCAAAACCTAAAGAGTTGTGAGCACAACCCAGACCTTTATTAAAAGAACACAGCTGTTTTTCAACTTTTGTTGAAAAAGGATATTTTGTTTAAAGGATATTGATAAAAATCTAAGCAAATTCAGCATCAAAATATTCCATTTAATTTGGTGTAAAATCATCAACATATCTTCTCATATACATCATTTCAAATACAGAGCTTAAATAAAAAAACATGAAATAGGATTATGTAAACTAATGGAAAAGTAATTTTATTTTCTTTATTTTAACTTTATATAAATCAGAATTCTACCCAGCTCTTAACTCACAATGTCCACAGCACCTAGAAGAATACCTGATATACAGGAAAAATATTAGAAAACATTCATATTGTAGAAATTTTCTTAGAACTCCAAACAAGGATTAATAATCAAGAGATGATAACCAAACACTTCTATCACAATTAGTAATTTATTATGATTTCATGTGTAAGTCTATGCTTACGTATATTCACCTTTCAAACACAATTCCAAATTACATCAAGTAAGAAATTGCCTACACATAGTCTCAAATCACATGACCAGAGCTCATGTATTCCTAGATATATAAGCAGGAAAGTAAAGCATAGGAGTAAAACTGATTTCCAGTTCTGTGGTTAACTACAACCTTTACCAAAACACTTCTCTCTAGGCCTGCTTCTTCATCTGCAAAAGGTGATTCTCAATTCTGAAATACCAATAGAATGGGGGAGGCAGGGAAATGCAGTAGCAGAAAAGTGAAGAAAGGTCAAGACTTCTTTGGTCCCCTTTTCCTAACTTTCAAATCACCCCATCTTTGTCCTAAACTCAGAGTCACTGATATGGTTTGGCTGTGTCTCCTACCCAAATCTTACCCTGAATTGTAATAATCCCTATATGTCAAGGGCAGGGTCAGGTGGAGATAATAATTGGGATGGTTTCCCCCATACTATTCAGATAGTAGTGAATAAGTCCCACGAGCTCCTACGGTTTTATAAATGGCAGTTCCCCTGCACAAGCTCTTATATACCACCCATGTAAGACGTGCCTTTGCTTTTCCCTTGCCTTCTGCTATGATTGTGAGGCTTCCCCAGCCATGTGGAACTGTGAGTCCATTAAAACTCTTCCTTTTATAAATTACCCAGTCTCAGGTATGTCTTCATTAGCAGCGTTTGAGAACAGACTAATACAGCCACTCCCTCCTCAGCACTCAACACTCTCAGCTGAGACTTCTACCTCACCTTTAGTTCATCATCAGTCTTATTTTTTCCCCCATTAAACAGTGAATCTAGTTTCTCAATTATTGTGTATTTGGCAGTTGATCGGGTCTCAAAAACATAGAAACAATGCAGAGGGGCCTGTGAGAGTGGGACGACCCATTCTGCTTGAGGTTAAAGTTCCGGTTGGGGTGGGCAGGAAGTAGAGGGGGGAAACAAAGCAACCCTTTGAGATGGAGTAGGGATCAATGTACCTTGGGTTACTTTTCCCTTTTTTTTCTTTCCCTTTTTTCCTTCTTTTTTTTGAGACAATGTCTTGCTCTTGCTCTTGGTCACTCAGTCTTGAGTGCAGTGGCATGATTTTGGCTCACTGTAGCCTCAACCTTCAGGGCTCAAGCAATCCTCCCACTTCAGCCTCCTGAGAAGCTGGGACCACAGATGACTGCCACCATGCTCGAGGTCTCCCTATTTGCCTAGCCTAGTTTGAACTTCTGGGCTCAAGCAATACCGTTCAGCTGGGATGCTGACAGGCGTCACCCTAGATGGCCTGTAATATGGGTTAACTTTAATGGCAGCTAAATGTTAACACACTCTGTGCAAGGACTTTGCATCGTATTTCTCACAACACCCTAGGAGGTGGGTACTATTATCATTCTCCTTTAAATATGTGGAAACTGAAACTTAGAGAAACTTGCCTCTCACTATCCAACTCTTAAGGGGCAGAGGTTGACTTTGGAACACAGTCCACAATGGATGACCTTCCCCTACCTGCAGAGGGCAGAGATCCTGCTGGGCGCCCAGGAAGCAGGCAGGGCCAGGAGAAAAGTTAATACCCCCGCTCCAGACGCTATGGGGAAGGGGCTGCTGGAACCTAGAGACTCCAGCTGTGCGCTGGCCTTACATAGGGAGGGGTTCCTTTAAGGGAGGGGGACTTACCCCCACGCGACAAAAAGTAACTCCCCAAGTGGGAGGGGGTTCTCTCCGAGTGGCGCGCAGGGTGGGCTTAGGGCCAAGCGGATCGATGAGGACCCGGCTAACTGGCGGAGGGAGCATCAGGATCCCCTGTGGGGATCGGTGGAGGATTCCGACTGGAGGGAGGCGGCAGCCGTGGGGAACCAGGATTTCTGGTCGTGGGTGGACCTGGTGGGAAGGGCCGTGCGAAGCCTGTTGAGAATGGAGCAGGCCGGCCAACAGGGCCGGGGGTCGGCGGGTCCCGAAGAGAGACCGGAGGCGGCCTGTTCCGAGGACTTGCGGGAGGCAGCGGGCCCGGAGGAGGGTGGGGAGGCGGCCGAGCGGCGATCGGCGGACGGCTGGAGCGGAGAGGAGGGGCCCGGCGTCGAGCCAGCCGGGCCAGGGGGCGGGGAGATGGCGGCCTCCGAGCGTGGGGCGCCGGCTGCTCCTGCGGTCTGGAGGCGGGGAAAGAGGCGGGGAAACCGGGAGGGAGCGAAGGAGAAAGGAAAGCTGCCGGAGGGCGGGAGTGGAAAGGACCCTGGCGAGCGCCGGGAGGAGCGGCGGCTGCGAGACTGGCTGCCGGGCAGGCACAGGGACAGGTACCTGGAGAAGTACTGGGAGGGCGCCCAGGAGCGCTACCGGGAGAGGGTGGTGAAGCGCAGGGCCAAGAGCGCGAAGCAGGTCGGGGAGGACCGGGTCGAGGGGAAGTACCCCCTGGAGAAGAAGCCCCACTGTCTGAGGCATCTAGGGACAGTGGAGACCGAGGAGGAGGAGGAGAAGAAGGCCTGTGGAAGGAAGACCAGCCACTTGGAAGTCCCGCAGCCTCAACTCCGGCGGCCCACAGTCAGATTCAGTATCTACCCAACATCTCCACGCACGTCTCAGCGGTTCCTCCCCTGCTGCCTCTCGGGCAGCACTGCCATTAACGAGCTGGCGAAGATGGGGGACCCGAATCTCCTCGAAGTGTTGGCGGAGGAAGGTAGGACCACGCCAAAAGGCGTCAAGGGAGAGCCGGGCTGCCTGCCTGCACCCCGCCACTCGCGGCGCAGCGGCCCCAGGGGTACGTTGGCGGCCCTGCAGCCCGAGTCCTAGGGATGTTCACAGCGTGGCGTGCCCAGCGCGAGACCCGGACTGCGGGGCAGAGAGTCCCCTGCCTGGGGTGATTGGGGTGGGCTTCGGCGCCCCACAGATTTCTCTGCTGCTCTTGCGCGCTAGGGACCTGCGACCTTTGACCCCCATGGTTCGGGAGCACCCTCCTGGCTCCCCTGCAGGCCGGGTAGCTGCAGAGTAATTCAGGGGCGCGAGGCTAGCGCTGCGGTGCTTGGGCCTCCGAACCCAGCCACTGGAAACGAAGGCTCTCCTAAACACAGCAGCAGTGTAGAGTGCCAGACAGCTGTCCCGCGTGTAAGGAGCTGGTCCTTGAGTCTTATTACCTCACTCTCTCTGCTCATTACTAATTATGCTTTGAGATGCTTGTTAATTACAGGAGTAGCAGATCCTAAGATCTATCAGTTTGAGATCTTGAGAGTCATAGGCACTTGGAAAAGCTGCTGCTGCTTTTACACAGCTTTCGTTAAGCCCTTTAATTCCTTTGACAAATATTTACCCGTTGTTTGCCAAAGCCTTTACACCGCGTATGTTCCGTGGGCCTATTTTAATACGCGCATTTTTCTTAAAATGCACATACTATTTTGCTGCTATCTCCAGGACCCCAGTTTCTTCAATGATACTTTATTTTCATGCCGTGTTTAGTGTTGGATCTAAACATGGAAACAGCTTTCCAAAGTAACAAAAGATCCGATCATTATTACTCTTCAGTTTTCAAAGGCATAGAGAAATACCGTGTGTTATTGCATCCTCCTCGTTCCCTTTTTAAAACAGCTTTATTGAGATATAATATATATACTATAAAATTCACCTATTTGATGTGTAAATTTCGATGTTCCTTAATTACCTTCAGAGTTTTGTAACTATCACCAGAATCTAATTTTAGAACACTTTCATCACCCCAAATAGAAACCTTTTAGGCAGTCACTTCTCATCCTCCCCACTTCCCACCAGTAATCTCTTTATCATCTCTATGGATTTGCCTATTCAAGACCATTCATATAAATAGAATCATACAATTGTGGTCTGTTGTAACTGGCTTCTTTCTCTTAGATTGTTTTTGAAGTTAATCCATACTGTAGCTTTTATCAGTGCATCATTCTTATTAATTGCCGAATACTATTCCATTGTGGAGCTATACCCTACCTTATCCATTCATCAGTTGGTAGGATTTGTGTTATTTCCACTTTTTTTGCTTCTATTAATAATGCTGCTATGAACATTAATGTATAAGTTTTCATATGGATATATGCTTTTATTTTCCTTGGGTATATATCTAGGAGTGGAATTGCTGGATTTTGTGGTAGCTTTATATTGAACATTTTAAGAAATTGCTGAACTGTTTTCCAGGCATATGCATTTTACCTTCCCATCAATAATGTGTAAGGGTTCCAATTTCTGTGCATGCTCACTAACACTTGTTATTGTCTGTCTTTTTCATTATTTAAAAAAAGCAACTTCTTCACCATCCTAGTGGTTGTAAAGTCGTAACTCAGTATGATTGTGATTATATTTCCCTAGTGATTAATGTGGCAAGTATTTTCTTATACTTATTGGGGCTCACGCGATACTCCCACCTCAGCCTCTGGAGTAACTGGGACTATGGGTGGTACACCACCATTGCCCCACAGGTTACTTTTTTTTTTTTTTTAAATGAAGATGGATTTCATTCTGTTGCCCAAATTGGTCTTGAATTTCTTAGCTCAGGTGATCCGCCTGACTTGGCCTCCCAAAGTGCTGGGATTACAGGTGCGAGCCACCAAGTCCGGTCACACTCTCCCT